AGAGAGAGAGAGAGAGAGAGAGAGAGAGAGAGAGAGAGAGAGAGCTTGGTGACATTTGGATCCAGACTCGACATTGGACTTCAGACATTTTGACGGCGGATTATTTGGGACTCGTAACGAGACTTGGTGTTCTCCGTCTGATCCTCTCCTCTTCGTCTGTGCATGAGATGGACCTGGCGCCTCTTCCTGTGTATAGCGCCAGGCTCCCTTCACACCGTGTGGTGAGAATGATGTATGTTTGGTCTGCATATTCTAGTATTCTGCTGCGCTATCTTGTACTACGTAAAAGAGGTCAGTCCCGGTCAGGTCAGGACTTGTATCTAAGTCTTCCACTGCGCTGTAAAGCACCATTTTGTATGTATCAGAATGTACACTGCTTGTTGAGATTTCACTGGCACTGCATTGCCCATTCAGTCCTTTTCATCACATTGCGGATCCTTGGTTTATATGTACATCGCCCAACTGGGCATGTAACATCGTTCAGGGCCCGCTTTTTCCTTTAAACCACCGGTATCTCGCCCAGCCAAACTTGAGAATCGAAATTGCGTCAATTTGGGTTCTTCAGACGAACAATGTTACCGAACAAAATGGCTGGCGGCGCCAGCCAGAAAAGAAAAGAAGTGCACCGCTGGTAGTTCGTTTTTCTTCGGCTCGCAGTGCGAAGCCATGTCAGGAAAACGAGGCTCGGAGGTACTGGTGGTTTAAGTATTGTTTGGGCTCAGATCGTTTTTTGAACTTTTTTCCGCTTGTCAGCTTTGCTACTTGGCTTTTCCGTCAAAACGCCACCACATCATGGGTTGGGTGGGAAAGCTCAACACTGGGTGCGACTGGCCAAAGAAGAGTTGCGTGAGATCTTACAATGCATTTCCATTGCCAGAAGCCATGAAGCAGGAAAGAAGGATCCATGAAGATGTAATCGATCATATGGGTACATATTACATACTCGTTAGAAAATATTAAAGATTCATTCCTTCATTCTCCTACACAAGCCTTAAGCACACTGCACATGATTTTTCATTATCGTATTCTTCTTTTGCTAAGGTATAGCAGAGCATCGTTCGGTGGCGGTCATTTTCCTGTTTGGCCCATGGTTGGCGGCGGTTCCAGTGCTTGGGATTCAGACACAGAGCGTCTGCTCTTTGAGCCTTGTTTTATTCACGGATAGTTGTTACGCTGTTGAACAGGCTTCCTTGGTTTGTGAAACTAACTGCTTTTTGTTGTGAGAGTGTGTGAAGTTCTGCATTTAGATTGCAGGCAGGAAACAAGTTTCGCTGAGCAGTCTGTCTTGTGTTGTCCCTCGGTCTCTTTGGGTATTCTTCCTACAGGCAGTCAAAGGGGATCAATCTTCCTTGGTCAGGGTGATCCTCAGACACCAGGTTGGGCATCAACACAAGGAGCGGAGAGGCTAGATAAGGAGAGTGTCATAAAATCACTGCCATCAATCCCGGCACTGCCAACCTCATGGGTCACAGGAAATCTTATCCTTCAGCGTCTTACCGGTGAGCAGCCACCTGGCTGGACTCACAAGACTGGGAGAGGACCAGCTGAAGCGACCTTGGACCTTGAGGTGATGTTCTTTCCATGTCAGCATATTTCCTGTGATGCTGCACTGACGATGCTGCCTTTTTTTTTTTCTTTTTTTCTTTTTTTCCACAAGAACGCCCTCTTTATATTCTGGGAGGGTTCCAGTCCAGTTACTTGTCACCGGCAAGCATAAGATAACAGGCCACGAAAAAAGGGAATACATGATGTCTCAAAGTAAGTACTAGCAGCGGGAGACTAATTAAAGTACCCAGTCCTACCATGTTGGCTTTGATTAGCCATGTTCCTAAACTCTAGCCCTGCTACCCCAGTGGGAAAAAACTCAATCGAGAGCGTCTAAAGGAGAAATTGAAAAAACAGAGATGATAATCCAAAAAAGAAAAAGGTACGATCATACTATGGTCATATGATGTATGAAAAAGATCTTCAAAAAAGGCGTTCTGGGAGAGAAGAAGGCCCATGTCAGAATAACAAAGAAGAAAAAAGCCACAATTTATCTACACAAGACTATCAAGGGGCCACAACTTATCTACACAAGACTATCAAGGGGAACCTCCTAAGGAAAGGTTCATGAACCTTTGAGGTACTGCAGAGCGGCGGGAGGCCCCTCATAACAGCGGTTGAACTTCTCTTGAGAGGCCGATCGGGCCTGTTCTTCTTAATCCCTCCAGTATTGGTCAAGGGCTGGTCCAAAGGTATAGCGATTATTGTGAAAGTCAAATCTGACAAAATTGGGGAATGGAGCCCAGGCCCTTGCCAAAAAACAAGAAGGAATGATGGGGGAGCTCCCATGATTGTGAAGGAAATCAGCTTGAAAACTGTGTGGGGATGTGAAGTATAGCGAGCCTCTGCATATGATTGAGTGCTGAGAGTTTGTTTTGCCTGATGCACAAATTTTCCTAATGCTCCAGAAAACAGATAGGATACGAGCACGCACCTTTTCGGAGACAAAAGGCTGGCATCGGAACCCGTTTGTATGTTATCTCCTAACAACACATCAGCTACTAGTCCATTTGATAGGATCAGAGGAGAAAACCCTTGGCATAAGTATGGCCAAATACACCAAAAGCCCCTCTGCAGATGCCAGGTAAGCCAGAGGTGCATTAGATCCTCCTTCTCTTGAGCGCATACTAAACAAGTAGCATCAGTATGTTGGCTTTCAGTAGACAACCATTCAGCTATTGGTATCGCAAGGTGAGTAGTGAGCCATAAAAGGGGAACCTTTTTGGCGTCTGGCAGCCGCCTGTTGATGTCACAAAATCTGAAAACCGACTGCTTGTTCCGTTCACACAGCAGATGCTCGGCAATAATTCCCCTGCTTTCCCAACGTGGTTTCAAATCTGAAAAGATATCAAAGTAGGTTCATGAAGGCGGTACAAAGCTTTCGTGGTCAGTTCATCGAACCTCAAGGACTTCCTTAGCATTCCTTTGGTTTTGACATACACACTGCGAAGGATCGAAAGACAGATCAGCGATGGCAGTGCAAACCTTAAAAGGCCGATATTTCCTGCGCCTTTTGCAACCTTTTTGCGGGAGAACTAGCACTGCCTCTAAATCAGCCACTCTCTTCTTCACACATTCTCATTCTTTTGGCAGCAATGGGGAGCCCAAATCATCGAACCCCGAGCGACAACAAGTGGATACCAAAACCTCATCTCCTTGCTCATCCGCTTGCTCAATTTAAAAAAGCTCTTCCGGTGTCGTTTGTTCCTTCAAGCGTACCCAGTGTCCTGGTTGGAGGGCGGATTAATGCAAGAAGTGAATCCAATGTTGAGGCCCTTGCAATAACCCACGCCATATGCCTCGTGGAAAGCCTGAGGGCCAAATCGGCCGCCCTCAGCCTGGGCCGAAAACAGGGGCAAAGACCCCACGCGAAAATTCAGGGCCTGGACGTGAGACAGTTGACTTTTGTCAACTGCCGTGACCCCAACAGTCAAAGTCCAGAGGTACCCAGTCCAGGCCACCGGTCAAGCACACACACTTGTTTGTATGCAGGTACCCAGACAGCATAAGGTCCAAGGGGAATGTCTGCAACTGTATGGTCCAGGCCTTCGGCTGTGATTCAATCTGGACGACTGAGGGAAGGAGACCCGAGGCCAGAGAGCCTCGCCAAATGCTACTTAACAACTGGCCTCGAGGTGGTCAGCATTCCGTCTTGCTATGCTGCTTTGACGCTGGCTCGACTTTGACACGGCGCCGGCTTCAGACTGACTTTGCACTGGTGTTGCGGACGACGGCACGCGGTAGAGGCAGCGTGCTGGCGCTTCTTCAGTGCGCCCGGCCATGCTGACATGGCGCCGCCTCTGGTGCATGTGGTGCTACCTCTGGTCTACGTGGCATGCTGACGTGGTGCTGCCTCTGGTACATGTGGCGCTACCTCTGGTCTACATGGCATGCTGACATGGCGCTGCCTCTGGTATATGTGGCGCTGCCTCTGGTCTACGTGGCATGCTGACGTGGCACTACCTCTGGCATATGTGGCGCTGCTATTGGTCTTCATTGATGATGTGGCGTATGCCACCTGTCTTCATTGCTGACGTGGCATTGTCCACACTGTCTACATGAGGTGACTGGTTGCGAGGAAGAGGAAGATCGGGATCTGTAGATATAGGGAATCGGGTACTCACCTGTGGCTGACGTCGTCACTGGCAATCTGCTGTGTCTTCAAAGTCTTCATGAGATAAAGTGCCACGTGGCACTATTGTATGTGACCAGGACTATTCTTACTATTATTGATGATGTAGTGTGGAGCGAAGCCCGGAGAAGGAGAGGGATCTGAAGGGGTCTGTGTATTCTCTCTTCCTCTCCTTTGTCTATTCTCCCTCCACACTCTTCTCTTTTTGGATAATGAGATGCTGCTAGAGATATCACTTCACGATCTGGGGACTTTCAGACAAATACTGAAACTACTGCTGATTGATGACTTCTGAGTACCTGACAGACTGGGTTCATTGCACCCTTGAGGGATAGCAGGCAAAATTGCTCTCAAGCGTTGCCGCCAATGTGTGGCATAATGAAAGGATTCTTGCAGTTCATCTGGAGTTTTCCAAGCTCTGGCATCCGGATTCCAAAGATGCTTAATTAAGAAGACCCCCCTTTCCATTCATTGCCGCCCAAACACAACCCTTTTCCCCAGCCATGCAAAAGGGTTGCAGTAACCCGTGTTCTGCAGCAGTCTGGGCCCTCGAAACGGAGCCCAGATGATGCAGGCCAAACTCGGCCTGCACCAGGCAGTGTGACCACGCACTGCCCTAGGAAAGTCAAAACTAAGTCAACTGTCAGGTCAAAGGTACCGCCCCCAGGCCCTTGGTCGGATACACTCACTTGTTGTACGCAGGTACCCAGACAGCATCAAGGCCAGAGGGAATTCGGTTTCAGGCCAATCTGGGCCGTCATTTGCACTAAGATCTTGACGGCTGAGGGATGCAGCATTCGGGGTCCAGACCCTGCGTCAACGCTACATAAGCGCTGACTTCCTGACTTTGACATTCATTCAGTCTTGTGTCAATGCTGACTGCACGTGTTTACGACGACGCTGGATGGACGCTGCGACGCTGGCTGGACGCTTGCTTTGCGCTGGCATTTGGATGACTACGGCGACGCGCTGCTGGCTCGGCATGGTGGCTGGCTGACTATTGTCTTCAGGGCATGCTGACATGGCAGCTGCCACGCGTCGCTGCCGATGTGGCCGCTGCCACGTGTACGATGCTGATGTGGCTGGGCTACGGGACTGGCACTGCTGTTCTGATTCATCGTCACTCAGGAGGAGATCATGACTGTGGGGTAATTGTGGACACGTACCTGGTCATCTTGAGGTCAACATTGCTCCAGTGCGCTGATGAGGACTGATTGGCGTGCCACGTGGCACATTGTAGTAGAACTTCAGATGTACGTGCAGACTATTGATTATTTGAGGTGGTGATCGAGGAGGAAGCCCGAAGTAGAAGTGGGCATTGTCTCTCCACTCTCTAGGTCTATTCTCCCTCCTCTCTCTTTTCGTCTGTGTATGATTCTCCCATCTCATTCTATCTGGACACGATTATGATTATTGATAATTATCAGCAGTTTGATATTCATCTGGGCTTGCATTGTTGACAAGTGTCTTCACGATATGGGTTCATTGCAGGGGTACCTTGTTCGGTTAGGAAGAAGTTCCCAAATTACAGCTGTGGCGGAACTTGAAAGAGGGTCCTTGGTGCAGCAACTTTAAACTGTATTTTACGCCAGCTGGTCAAGATTTTTGACCAAACTGAATGCTGCTGGATCCCGGTGAGGAGTTGAGGGTGCATTAAAGCTGTCCAATCAGCAAATTCAGGAATGCGTAAATTCTGTGACAAGACAGTCCCTGCTAATTACTTCCGCACCGCCTTATCCCCATCAAGCAGTAACCAAAGAATATTCCGACGTGGCAGGGCCAAAACCTGAGTGGCAGGATCCAGAAGTGAAAGGCCCCCTTCTCGCCGTGGCTGCATTAATTTCACTCAAGCAACTCAAGGGATAGTGGATTCCGCCTCTGCATCTGAGGACCTAAGAAACTGCGTGACTGCTGTCCTGATAGTCTGGAGCATGCTTGGTGGGGGAGAGGATATCACCGTAACATACCGTATTGTTGAAAGGATTGAGTTGTTAATAATCAACACTCTTCCAAACGCTCCTAATACAGCACTTGATTTCCATTTTTGCATCCGAGACATTATAGTAGAGAGGATATTGTCCATTTGAGGGTTCACTCCCCCTCCCTGTGACATTTGACTCGCCAGGCTGATGATGCTGCCTTGCAAGTCTCTGCTGTCCAAGTGTTCAGTATGAAGGGCAAGAGAAAGAGACTCTTAGAGCATGGTTGACTGGCATCTTAATCAAATTGAATCAATCCACCCACAGCATGCCAGTTTCCCTTCAGTTCTGCGCCCAAAATCACTCATCTGTGAGCACTTTGGAAGCGCATACTGTTCCCTCAAAGATTCAAAGGCAACTTGATAATTTCTGGACCTAACATGATACCCCCTCATGCTACCAAGTAGTTAACCATACAGATCTTGACGCACACTGAAACAAGGCTGTGCTGGGGGTAAGAAAATGAATGGTGGGAAAGATCTTAATGTGCAGCAGTGCTTCTCTAAGTCTTGACGTTATTACTGAACCAGCTTCAAGAGCAGTGTAGCATGTGTAGGTATCAAGCAGCAAGGGTAACAGTAGCCCAATATGCTAACTTAGGCAGGGGTGAGGGGAGGTTACACATCCTTCCAGACTGGAAGTAATCAATGCCGTCCCTCGGGTCTCCAAGCCATTATGGGGAGAAGCGTTTTCAAGTGTGTTGTAATCTGTAATTCTGACTTGCCGGTGGAATAGGAACCGGACTGGCGCTCCCCAGAATGGACAAGGAGCCAGAGCCATAAGGCTCTGTTTTTTTTTTTGGGGGGGGGAAGGAAAAAAAAAAGGTGGCATTGTTTTGTAACCTCGTGTGATGGGTCTGTCGGACACCTGTGTTCACTTTGCAGATGAATTTGACAGCGGCAAAGATATACAATGTCTTTGGAGTGATTGAGGGTTCAGAGGAACCGGACAGGTCAGTACAATTTCCCCCAACTCTTGCGCATGCCGTGCCCTTCTTTAAATCTCATAAAATCAGTGGTGTATGACAGGTTTGAATTCTTCTTGTTTATACCACTCCAGAAGAGTTTCATGTTTGTTTGTTTTTTGGAACAAAGAGTTGACAATACTGTCATTACCTCAATTGTTTGGTTTTGGTTCATTGCAACGCAGACACAGAAAACAGAAACCATGCAGACACACATCCCCAGTGCACCAACTGCAGCAAACAGCACATGTTAAGGACTCAACTCTTCTGAACTGTTCAAAGGCCTGAAACACTACCAAATGGCAACTTAGTGCACTGCTGAGTTCCCCTCAGATAAATCAGGAAAGGATGTATAACTACAGATTTCCGATCCCAAGACCATTGCTGTGGCTATCAGCGTACGACAGTCCTATTTTCTTCGAACCTTCCCAAAAATATTGTGACGAGCACTGGTTCAGGGAGGAGGAGGAGGGTAGAGGGAGTGAACACCACACTCACATGATTAGACTGTGATGTAGAATTCGACTGGTACGATGTGGGACGCCCAGAGAAGAGTACCAGCGGCAACTCGATGTCGAACGCCCAGTCCAATGATCTCAAAGTACAGCACAAGATGTCCCGCCACTGTGTGAGACTGGTGCTATACCTGGGAGTAGCCTAATGGCTAGGCTGGGCTAAGGGGTATGTAGTAAATCAGTCGGTACCAGGAGGTTGCCTGTAAAAATGTCCAAGGGACAGCAATGCAAAATGTGTTGGTACCGAGGACATAGCAGAAACCGGCGCCGGGCATGAGGTCAGGGATCGAACCCTGGCCATATGCATAAAAAATATGTCGTTTGGGTGTCTGCCTGGTTCTTGGTTACCATCAGAGATTCTGTGATACACATTCAGTTTTCCCAAATTTAGCCTACCTACAACAAAACCTCGCCCCTGTTTTCAGGCTTTTGATATTGAAACAATCGCACAACAGCTGTCCTGCCTAACGAGTAGTAATTACCCTTAAGGTGTCCAGCTACGGCAGCACGAAGGCCAAAACATGGGAGAACAGTCATGTGCAGACGAGTGTTGTGGCTAAGCTGCGTGAGTGCAGACGTTTTGGCTGTGTCACTGTTTTTCGCGCTAGCGCCGCGCCGGTCAGCGCTACCCAACCTCCAACATTCGCACGAAAGCTTGCCGCACACCCGCACACCATAGCCATTGCGCGCGCGCGCACGCGCACATACGCGAAGCAATCGTGATCACGGGACTCACGTCAGGCAGCAGACAGGAGAGCACGAGGCGGGAGTTTGACTCAACCTCGGGTCTCTACCATCGCTAGGAGGGAAACGCCACGTGCCCGTATCTTGGATGTGGTCGAAGAATTGGTCTGATGATAGGCGAAGAGTTATCCGGACGAGCGAGAGACGTATGGTTCAGTTCGACCTCGTGCTCCGATCATTGGCAGAAGGATCGAAGGAGGGAATTGCTACATGCCCGCATCGTGGATTTGGTCGAAGAACTGGCCTAAATACAGGCAACGAGTGATTCGTACGAGTGAGATCCAACCTTCTATAGCTTACTAACCCCCTTCCCTACGATCTGTCCCTCTTCTATCCCCCTCATTCTTCGCCTCTCAACTTTACCTTTCTGCTTCGTGCCATCCTCGGCCCTACTCCCAGACCCACCCTTTCTTCATATTTGTTTTTTCCGACCTATCGATACCTCCGCTTCCCTCTGCCCAATCTGGTCAACAGAGATCACTCCAAGTCCCTTCCCCACCTCCTTTCTTTTCCATCGCTGGTTTTCCCCCCAGCATCTTGAATCAGGTCGAAGGAACGGTCTAAATACAGGCAACGAGCGATCCATATGAGTGAGATCCAACCTTCTACATCTTAGTAACGCCCTCCCTACGACCTACCTCCCTCCCCATCCCCCATGCTCCTCGCCTTTCAACGCCACCAATTGGCCTTGGGTCACTCCATCCCAACTTTCTCCACACCCGTTTTGCCCCGAACCCTCAACATTTCCGTTTCTTCCCACCTGCAAATTTGGTCAACGGATATCAATCGAATTCCCTCCCTCCCCTCCATTCCTTTCCGTCTCAAGACTCCCCCCCCCCCCCCCCCCCTCCTCCTCGCACGGTCATCACCACCCCAATCTCCCAAACGGCCCCCTCCATTCTTCACGACTCCCCCAGTACCCGATGCCATTCGATCCCACGCGTCCCCCTCATTGCTTGTCGTTCTCATTGCTCGGCACGTGATCCTGATTCGCTTCCTCCCCACGATCTCCCGGCCTCTGTCTATGATCATCCTGATCCCTCCTCCACACTATTCTTCTCCCCCCCCACTGCTTTCATAGGACTTCTGGTACACTCGACCCTTGTTTGTCCCCCTATTACCCACCCCCTTTCTTTCTTCTAAGCAGTCCCTAATTTATCCACTCCCCCATGCGATCCGCGACCACCCCTCCTCCCCCTCCTATCGGCCCCACGATCTGCGGCCACTAAGGTTGCAACGTGTTTTGCTCTCCCCCTTACCTTTCCGAAGCTCCCCCCAGCATCCAGCCCTTACCAGTCTTCCTCACACTTTCTCCATCCCCTTCTCTCCCTCCCATCCCTTCACCCATCCATCTATACTTCCCTCCACCCAACCACCCACCCTGATACCCTCCCGTCCGCCCACTCATCCATCCAACCACCCTTCATCTCAGCCATCCTCCACAAACTTTGCCGATATACGCTCGATACCATCCGCCATTCCTATACATCCTTCCATCCATCCTCCCATCCAGCCATTGATCCATCCATCCATCCATCCCCGCCATCCAACCTTCCTCTCACCCATCCATCCACCCGCCCAACCCTTCATCAAACCATATACCCAACCATCAAT